TTAAGACTATTTCTTTTTTAAAAAAATATTTTGTTTTATTATTTATTTCTACAGAGAAGGGAAGGGAGGGGGAAATGGAGAGAAACATCAGTGTGTGTTTGCGTTTTGCGCATCCCTCACCGAGGACCTGGCCAATAACCCAAGCATGTGCCCTGACTGGGAATCGAACCAGTGACCCACTCAGTTCACAAGCTGGTACTCAATCCACTGTGCCACACCAGCCAGAGTAGCCTTAATTTTCTTAGAGCGGTTATAGGTTCACAGCAAAATTGGAGGGAAGGCACAGAAATTTCCCACACAGTCCCCTGTACCCATGCATGCGTAGTTTCCTGCACTATCAATATTACCTACCAGAATGGTACATTTTTTACAAATAATGAACATACATTGACACATTTTAATTTCCCAGTCTATGATTTACATTACACTTCACTCTTGGTGTTGTACATTTTATGGGTTTGAACAAATTTTTATAGTTTCTTAAGGCAGAAGTTTTGGTTACTAATTTGAGATCTTTCTTTACTAATAAGGGTATTTACATTATTAAATATCTCCTTGAGTACTGCTTTTTCTACATTTTGTAAGTTATGATATGTTAAGTTTTGTTTTTATTCATCTCAAAGTATTCTCTAATTTCCCTTGTGACTTTTTTTGATTTACTGGTTATTCAGTAGAGTATTATTTAATTTCCACATATCTGTCAATTTCTTAATGTCCTTCTATTATTGATTTCTAATTTTATTCTACTGTGAAAGAAAGTGGTGAGAGTGGACATCCTTGTCTTACTCCTGATATTCGGGGAAATTTTTCAGCCTTTCACCATTAATTATGATGCTCATTATTAACACAAATATATGACCAATTGATTTCTGACAAAAATGCAAAGGCAAGTAAATGGAGAAAGAATGCTCTTTTCAACAATTAGTGCTGGAACAATTGGACATTCATAAGAAAAGAAGTGGAACTCAACTTAAACCTCACACCTTATATAAACATAAAGTCAAAAGGGATCACAGATTTAAATGTAAAATATGCAACTATAAAACGGTTAGAAGAAGAGAAAGGAAAAAATATTTTTCATAATCTGGTGTTAGACAAAGGGACTTAGACAAGAAAAAAACAAACAAACCATGATCCATGAAAGAAAAAACTAACATACTGGATTATATCAAAATTTAAAACATTTTCTCTGAGGCAAAAAAAAAACAAAAAAAACAACCCTTGTACAATGAAAACAACAAAATACTGCTGAAAGAAAAAGGGTCACAAATAAATGCAAAGACATCCCATGTTCATGGATGGAAGACTTAATACTGTTAAGATGTAAATACTACCCTAAGTGATCTATAGGTTCAATACAATCTCTATCAAAACCCCAATGACAATTTTTACAGAAATAGGAAAAGCTATCCAAAAATTAATATTTTATTTCAAGGGACCACAAATAGAGAAAAGAATCTTGAAAAAGAAGAACAAAGTTGAAGTGTGTAGGAAACCAGCTTGGAAATGGTGAATGTGACTCAGCCCTGCATTGGAAAGCCAACAGGAGCAAAGTGGTGGGCAGGAAACCTCAGACCACTTTTCCTGTGGGAACCAGGCCCAGAAAATGTATCCTGACTGTTTTGGCTTGCTCTTGCTAAAACTCCCTCACCCTGGTCTGAAACAGTAGATGTTTATTGCCTATTTTCAAGGTAATTTCCAAAGCCTGTATGAACTTTCCCAAGGACAGAGTGTAATCTGCTTGCCACCTTTCCCTTCTGCATGTTATTTTGGTTTCCTTGATTGTACTTAAAATGTAGACAACAACATTCTATGCAATAGATAATAAGACCCGAGAGAAACAATAAAAGCCTGTCTAGGCAAGGGTCGGGGCGCTCTCCCCTTGAGAGAAGCAGCCATAGGACTCTCATATTAAGAGAGTACCTGTACCATCCCTTTTTCTCCACAGGACTTCTGTAGTCTGTGTGAATTTGTTCATCACATCCACAACACACAGACCCCGCTGGCCAGAGTCTGCATCAGAAGTTGTTACATTTACTATTTTCAAAACTTACTACAAATCTGCAGTAATTACAACAGTGTGGCACTGGCATAAACACAGACATATATGACTACACCAATGGAAACAAATGGAGAACCTCTTGTATTAATGGTCATATGATTCTCAGAGAGGATGCTAAATTTATTCAGTGGAGAAGGACAGTCTTTTCAAAAAGTAGTACTGGAAAAACTAAACACCAACATTAAAAAAATGAAGTTGGAGCATTACACCCTAACAAAAAAGTAACTCAAAATGGACTAAAGACTTCAATGTAGGAGCTAAAACTGTAAAATTCTCATAATATAGGAGAAAAGCTTTATGACATTAGATTTGGTAGTGATTTATTGGACATGACAGCAAAAACACCAGTAAGAAAATAAAAAATTAAGAAAGTGGATTTCATCAAAAAGAAAAACTTCTGTGCATCAAAGGCCACTATCACCAGAGTGAGAAGGCAACCCATAGAAAGTGAGAAAATACTGCCAAATCATATATCTGATAAGGCATCAGTATCCAGAATATATAAAGAACTCCTACAACCCAACAGCAAATAAACAAACAACTCATTAAAAAAACAGCAAAGGACTTAATTAGACATTTCTCCAAAGATACACAAATGGCCAAAAAGCACATGAAAAGATGCTCAATATCACTAGTCATTAAGGAAATGCAAACCAAAACTACAAGGAAATACCACTTCATACCCATTAGGATGGCTTTATAAAAAATAATAGAAGAAAATAGGTGTTGACAAGGGTATGGAGAAATTGAAATCCTTGTTTATTGCTAGTGGGTATGTAAAATGGTATAGCTCTATGGAAACCAGTACGGTGTTTACTCAAAAGATTAAACATAGAATTACCATATGATCCATTAATTCTACTTCTGAGTATATACCCAAAAGAACTGAAAGCAGGGACTCAAACAGATATTTGTACATCCAGGTTCATAGCAGCATTATTCGCAATAGCTAAAAGGTAAAAGCAAACAAGTGTCTATTGACAGATGAATGGATCTTAAAAATGTGATGTATCTATACAATGGAATATTATTCAGCCTTAAAAAAGGTTCACCCTGATCAGTGTAGCTCAGTTGCTTGGGTTTTGTTCTGCAAACCAAAAGGTTGCCAGCTTGATTCCTGGTCAGGGCACATGCCTGGTAATGCATATGAGAAGCAACCAATCGATGTTTCTCTCTCACATCGATGTTTTTCTCCCTCTTTCTTTCTCCCTCCCTTCCCCCTCCCTAAAAATAAAGAAATATATTTTTTATAAAAGGAAAGAAATTCTGACACATACTACAACATGGATAACATTGAGGAATTATGCTAAGTGAAATAAGTCAGACACAAAAGGACAAATAGTGTATGATCCCAATTATATGAGGTACCTAGAGTCAAATTCATAGAGATGGAAAGTAGAATGGTGGTTGCCAGGGATGGAGGGGAAGGGGGAATGGGGAATTACTGTTTAATGGGTACAGAGTTTCAGTTTGGGAAGATGAAAAAATGGTGTAGATGGATGGTGGTGATGATCACACAACATTGTGAATGTGCTTTATACCATAGAACTGAACTCTTAAATATGGTTAAAATGGTCAATTTTAGTTAGATATATTTTACCACAATAAAAAATTTGTTCTGCAAAAGACAGAGTTAAAAGAATGAAAAGACAAGCTACACGCTGGGATAAATATTTGCAAATCAGATATCCAACAAAGAATTGTGGTTAAAACAAAGAACTCTCAAAAGTCATCAGGAAGAAAATAAACAGCCCAATTAAAAAACAGCAAAAGATTTGGACACTTTAGCAAACCGGATATAAGGATGGCAAATAGCATATGAAAAGATGTCCAACATCATCAGCCACTAAAAAAATGCAAATTAAAACTACAATGAAATACCACTTCACAGCTAATTGAATAATTAAAATACTAACAATATCAAATGCTGACAAAGATGTAGAACAACTGTACTCTCATACATTGCTGGTGAAAATGTAAAATAATTCAGCCACTCTGGAAAATGGTTTGGCAGTTTCTTATAAAGTTAAACACTTACCATATCACCCAGTAATCCCACTCATAGATATTTACCTTAGAGAAATAAAAATTTTACGTTCACACAAAAACGTGTACAAGGATGTTCATATAAGTATTATTCAGAATCATTATAACCTGAAAACAGCTCAAATACACATCAATGGGTGAATGGATAAACAAACTTTGGAACATCCACACAATGGAATATTACTTAGCAAAATGAATGAACTCTGATACACACAGCTTGGATGAATCTCAAAGGCATTATGCTGAATGAAAGAAGCCAATCTCAAAAGATTACATATCATATGATTCCATTTGTATGACATTCTATAAAAGATAAAACTACAGTGATGGAAAACAGATCAGTGATTGCCAGAGATTATGGGTGGAGCTGGGGTGACTATCGATGGACAGTATGAGGAAATTTTAGGGTGATGGAGCTGTTCTTTATCCTGACTGTGGTGGTGATTACATGAATCTACATGAGTTACAATTCACAGAATTGTATACCATAAAAATATCAGGCAATTTTATTGCAAGTTCATTTCAAAAATAAAAGAAAATATTAGCTATTATGTCATCATCATTAATAGTTTTACTTTACTGATTAATAAAAATATTCAATATTACTTGTGAAATAGATCTCAAAAGCATTAAGGTTATTTTATGCCTGGTACAATAAACTTAAAGCTATAAAGAAAAATCAACAACACTAAATGTAAAAGTTTTACAACTTCTACTTGCTCCTTTCATTCATATTCTACAGCAGGATAATATGCTCCCTCTGGATCATTTCCTAGTAAACACTGTCATGTACTAGATATGGAATATGGAATAAAATAAGTACTCAACTTACAAGTCTGGGACCCTAGGTTACATTCCTAAATCTAACACTGTAAGAAAACTCTCGACTTGCCTTTTGTGCCTAATTTTATCTTCCTCTTCATTGAGGTCATGTACTTGTCTGCACTTGTCTTTTTGTGGTATGCTGTGAAGGTTTAAAGCAAGGAGTTTCAAAGATAGGAAACACAACAGATTCATACACCACCCACCCACCTCCAAATACCAGGCACTGCTCTAAGTGATTTACACATATTACCTCAATCCTCCTAACAATCCTACTATATAGCTACTATTAATATATTCTCATTTTACAGATGAAAACTGAAGCACAGAGTGGTAACATGCCCAAAATCTTATAGCTAGTAAGTGGGGAACCAGAATTTTCCCAGGAGTCTACCTCCAAAACCCATGTTCTTAATCAGCATGCTATAATGTGTCTACAAAAGTCTATTTATTTGTTCTTGTCCTTTCACCACTGCTCTTCCAGGTCTATGGTCTCTAACAAATCATTCATTCATTCTCAAGGCTTTACCTCTCATCTAAGCATAGATGATGCCCAATTCTGTAGATCTAATTCTGACCTCTCTCCTGTGCTTCAACTGTTGCATTTCCAATTGCCTCCTCAATATTTGCATTTAATGATCCTGCCATTCTCACAAATTCAACAGGTTCAAACTCAAACTCATCATTTTCCTCAAAATGTTCCCATAAAACTTTCTTAATGGTGACAACTATTAAGTCACACAGCATTGAAACTTTTGGATTTCCTTATACATATTCCTCCTTGAGTCTCATGCAATAAGTTTTACCAATTCTTCCTCTGTGATGTCTCTTACAACCATAGGTACCTCTCTTTTTACTTCCATTACCATCACTCCAGTCCATTTCTTCATGCCTAAGTGACTGTATTACCTCCTAAATCATTTCCCCTGCTTCCATCTCTTCCTTTCTCTCATCATACAGGGTGGGGCCAAAGTAGGTTTAAAGTTGTGAGTATGTGAAACATGGAGTTCATTCTTGTATTATTTATTAATTATTGTATTGTTTTCCATAAAAACAACTGTAAACCTACTTTTGTGCCACCCTTTATTTCTTGGTCACCAGAGTAATCATTTTCAAATACTGCTTCTCTTATGTTACTCCTGGCTCAAAAACCTTTAACCATATACAAACTAACTGAATAACTAACTCTGTATAGGTCTATACTGCCCACAATAGAAAGGTCAAAAATTGTATCTACCTTCTCTATCACAACACTCCTGAATATGCCATAGTGCTCACAACATCTGCAGCAACTGAAATGCTTTTTCCCTCTGTTCCCTAAATAATAGGTAGTATTAAAGGAACATTTAAATCTTACCTCCTCCAAGAGGCCTTCTTCAGTTATGCCAATGCATAGTAGCCTTTCCCTCCTCTGAACTCCTACAGCATTTAACAACTGTATCTAGCATTGTTACTAAAACGTCATGTTTCTCTCAAATCACTGTAATTGGTGCAAAGTCAGGAACTATTTCTTAAACCTCTGTGCACCTTCCCCAGTGCCTAGCAAAACTTATCTGTTAAACTCATTCTTTCTGGTTAAGACAAAGACCAGAATATCTCTGTGTGTGTGTGTGTGTGTGTATAATATGAATTTATAGTTTAGTCTAAAGACCTTTTACAACCTAGCCTCACTTAATGAGGCTGCCAAGTCTCATCTGTAATTCCCTGCCAAGTCTTAGATTGCCTGCCACACTGAGCTTTTTATTGTTCCCTAGACACACCAGTTCCTTTTTCAATCCTGTTCCTATTCACCTGTTATCTGTAATGTTCTCTTCCCCTTGTTAACCTGACAAATGCCTGTTAATCCATCAAGACTTAGTACAAATGTCAATTTCTGACTCCCCAACTAGGCTTAGATGTTCTATATTCTGTGCTCCCTCGGCATTTTATTCACATCTACAAATACCAATTAAATACATGGCTACACATTCTGCAAGAGTAGTGATAGTTTGTCTTTCTCCTACCCCCTTCACTAACTCTTCATATACAATGCCCTGATGGTAAATCTCTCTCTCAATGAAAAAACATATCAAAGTCAGCGGCAATCACACACCTTGATAATAAAGAGCCTTAAGGAAGGAGTGACGATCAGTTCCCTGAAATAAAGACTTTTCTATTTCCATTTCTCGCCGGGTCAGCTGTTTGCTCTTTGCAAATCTCTGCGGCAGGCAAAGGATGCGATGATGCTCTGATATCCTTTCTTCAATATCTTGAAGACAGTTCTGTATTGCTTCAGGGGTTGCCCTCAGTCTTGTCCTCTGAAACCAGAGAAATGAGAGGGCATAAATTATATAGCGCATACCCTAAAAGGGATGGTCTGATGCCTCAAGTAAGGAAGAAGATGATCAGAGCCCAGAAATGAGCATTTATCAATGTGGTAGCTAAAAAGTCAAGGAATAGTTTGTCTTTTCCCTAGGTCCCTCTCCTACAAACCAAAAAAGATTCAGAAATAAAACTTAGTTTTCAGAGAACTAAAAATAAAAAAGTTCTCAGTGCCAAGTAAAGAGATATTGCTCTTCAGTGTCCAGAAAAAAAAAATTGCCCCACTCACCTTTTCACCTGAAACATGGCTCTTCCAGATCAAGATTTCTGTTTCATTGAGCCCTAGTTCCCTGAGAGAAGCAGTTTCCTGGTCCTTCTCATGTAGTGTTTGGAACTGGGACAAAGTCATAGTCCCAGCTGCTTCCTTCCCAAAGGGCTTGTACATAGTACCAGGAGCAAAGCTCTCTTTCTTAGATACACATCTGCAAACCAAGAAGGAAAAAAGAACATCTTCAAGTTACCCACAATTTCACAGAAATGGGGCTCACCATTAAAAGAGGCACAATGTAACTCACAGGCAATTTGTCTTTCATGTCCTATTGCTAGGCTGAAGCACCACTGCAACTATACCAACAGTCCCCTCATCCAGGACTAATATATAACTGAGTCAAATATTTATTTATTGAGTACCTACCATGCATCAGACACTGTGTTGGGGACTGAGGATTTAACAGTAAAAAAAAAAAAGATAAAAATGGTTTCTGCTTTTGTGGAAGAACAGTGGAAGGAGAGACAAGTAAGCAGGCAATGATAATATTGAGTTGTAAGTGCTACATGTATCAGAGGAAGACACAGGAAAGGTACTTAGTGGAACACGGGGGAATTTGTAGAGGAAGAGACAGAAGCAAAATCCTGCCTAATATGTAGATGTGAACCAAGGAAAGGGGGATGGGAGAGGAGTGTTCCATCCAGGCTTTAAGAGATACCACCTGGAGGTGAGGATCTATGATACTTAACTTGTTTGCAAAATCAATACTTACTCCTCAATGGACACAGAGGTGTCAAGTTGATGCTGAAGGAGGCTTTTCAGCTGCCTTTCCCCTTCTGTTTCCAACTCTTCCAGGACATGCTCATTGCTCTTCACACAGCTGTTTACCCTGGAGTAGACACAGGGATAAATACAGAAAGTAGACAAGATAGTGAAATCTCAAAACATATTCTTTACCTATGTTATCTACCTTTGGTGATCTCATTTGTTCAAAGACCCTTCTCTAATAATTCATTGCCCTTTATTAATCATTATGCAAACATTTATTAAACACCTACTTGCATATAGCACATTGTAAGACACTGATGGAGTCAAAGATATTCAAGACATAGTCTCTATCCTCAAGGAGTTCCCGACTTATTTGGGGAGATGGTGTGTGTGTGTGTGTGTGTGTGTGTGTGTGTGTGTGTGTGTGTGTGTGTGTGTGTGTGTATGTTGTGTGCATGTGCCTGGAAGAGAGGGGAGTGGGAGAAAGGAAAGGAGAGGGGAGGGGAGGACAGAGGAGGTGAGAGGAAAGGAGAAGTGAAGAATGACAATACAAAGAAGCATATGCCAAATTAGTAGGAGTTCACAGAAGTAAGATATACTTGGGAGCTAGGAGGGTAAATGAAGGAAAGAAGAGGGAGAATAAGTATGAGATGTTCTGGGGGATAATGGGAAATTTAATTTAGCTGACATTACAGGGATAATTAGACTCAGATTGCAAATGGCCTTAAATATACCAACTAAGGGGCCTGGGCCTTAATGTATAGGTATTAGAAAGTAATTTATTATGTAGTTAAGTGACATGGTACAAGTGATGGTTTAAGAAAAAGAATGTAGTTATAATATACCTTATGGATTTATAGGAAAGAAATCAGAAGAACTACAGCTAGAAAACTATTCAATTTATCAAAGATAAGGTGGAGAAAGTCTAAATTGAAGTGCTAATAGCGGACATAAATGAAGAGTTAGATGAGAGAGGCCTTTTGAAGGTAGGGGTCAAAGAGAAGTAAAGGATAAGTTCAAGATTTCAAGCTGTGAAATTGACTGAACTATGGTACCAATGAAGGAAAGAGGAAGCTCCACATGAAATAAATGGTTTGGAAAGGGAACATCAGTATTGTTTTAGCCATGTCGAGTCAACTACCATTACAATTGAAACACCAACATGAAGTTCCAGGAAACATTTGAAGACATAATGAGTCCCAGATGACAGTATAAGTGATATTGCCTAAAAGGAAAGGGAGATATGAGAGAACTCTTGCACAGATACGTCTCAGACTGAACACAGAAATATCAAGTCATCTGTAGTATCAGGATCTAGAACTGTGAAAGAGATCTCCAAAGGAGAAAGCATCAAAACAAATGTGAAAAGGGTCATAACATTTTATAGCCTAGGTACTATTGTGTAGAAATCTAGGTAATGCTAACATGAGCCGATTCACTATAAATAATTGAAAACACTTATTAGAGTATAAGGAAATAGAGGAACCACTTAAGTAGGCAACAACAGATTATAAAAGACAACAAAACTGAGCTAACTCCATGAGGAAAATAAATATTAAAATACTTTCCTTACAAAATAGCTCTTTATTACTGGGATCTAGGGAAAGTATCCCTCATAATTATAACCAAGATTTTCATGCTCTAGAAAAACTTATACCTATTTTGGGATATATTAAAATATACCTAGGCCAGGGTTTAAAAAAATCCCTTTTAAGTATCTTAATGTTTAGTTATTACTTAGAATTCAGAAAGTTCTTACTAAGTTTAAAGTTACTTTGAAATGAATAAACCATAGCTAAATATATCAGTACACATGCATCTCAAAAAGAAATGTTGAGTAAAAAAGAGCAAGTCACAGAAAAATGTATACAATACATGTCTATCTATGTAAAGTTAAGAATGGATAAAAGGAGCAACATTTTGTTTAGGGATAAATTCCAAGGTGGCAAAAACTATTTTTTTAAAGCAAGAGAATGATTAGTACAAAATTCTGGATGGTGGTCCCCTCATGGGGGAGAGAGTAGAAGCAATGGCATGGGACACACTGGGGACTTCTAAGATACTGGTACTATTCCAGGTCTAAAGCTTGTATTGGGTATGAGTCTATTATTATTCTTTAAAGTTTATATATACATTATTTTGCATGTACAAGATATATCATAAAAATATTTTTAATAAGTCATTTTGAGGCAGGGAAAATAACCAGTTTTTTAAAAGATGCAGAAAGTGACAGTGCAGGAGAGCATAGTATCAGTAAGAATTTTAAATACACCCCCTTATGCCAGAGCGATTATCCTCCTTGCAGAGTGAATGCAAAACTAAATGATACTTTAAAAAGGCGTGTGTACTAATTGGGAAGCTCAGGCTTTCAACAATGATCCACCAAATTTAAAGCTGCCATTTCCTGCAAAACCAGTAGGGGGAACTGTTCGTAGCACTGCCTTCCTTTTCCTGACCCTGAGTCGATTTTGCACTTGCCTTTTAAATTTGTAGAAACAAAGTATCACTTACTTTAAAATTTGACAACGCTACATGCCCGGTCCCCCGCCCCCCCGAGCACGTCTTCTTTAATACACAAACACTGCAAATAAAGGGCCCACCTTGGTCCCCTTTCTGACAATAAGGTGGAGGCAGGAGGTTGGAGCTGGCCTGGATTTCTCACGCGGTAGACATCAGTTGGCCAAGACCCTTTTACCTGAGGGGGTCCATGTGCAATAGGAAGAAGCAACAGCGTCCGTCCGGCTCCCGGTGCCCGCGCCGTGGCTTAGATGCCTGGGCTGGAAGGGCACGACTATGGGAACCGGCAGCAGCAGCGGCCCTTCCTCAACTTTGCCCTGAAGGCCTGCCTAGCCTGTCTCCCCTATATCCTCCTCCTTTGTCTTCTCTCTCTCACGAAACCGCACCCCGAGACTGTGACATACCCCAAACACGAAATAATAAGAGCCATTTTAAGTTAAAAGGTAAAACAGAGCTACCTTCGCCGCCTGCTCTCAGACAAGACCTTACCTCTTCATGTTTCCACAGGCCCTTATCTCTAACTTGGGTAAATAGACCGCGGACTTCAAGTCCCAGAACTCTGAGCGGCCGACTCAACAGAGACTGTGCTGGAGTGCAGAGCTCTGGGAATTGTAGTAGCGCAGAGCTAAAGAAAGGGAAAGGGAAAGTATGTACTGAATAACCCATAGGTTGTAAACTGTTCAAATATTTCTCTTGAATTTCTTTTAGAGGTTAAAGGCAACACCCAAAATACCCATCTCATAAACCAAGAAGTCACCTTTGGCTTCTTTACCCTCTCATTCGGTATCACCGATTCCCGGCGCCTTCAATTTCTTTCTAATGTTTCCCTATTCGCCATGCTTTTGCTCCCAAGGACTTATTATCCATAGGCTTACCTGCTGTTTTCAGTAGGGTCAACCTGAGGGTCAATCCATCAATGCAGCCAGAAGTTTGACGACGTCACTTGCAATAATGGTTCTCCTCTTGTAACAGAGGCTTACAAGACATTCACTTCCTGAAACTCAGAATTCCATATGTATTCAGGCCTGCGAACATTTTAATTATAGTGAATCAAGAGAGGGATATAGCATAGTGCTTAAGAGCATGAGCTCTTAGTTCCCGGAAATGGAAATAAAAATGATCTTAAATATGTGAAAAGAAAGTTGTATAATCTCACAAGTGACATGGAAATTTCAAAGTACACTGACTATAAAAACACCTGACCTATAATCCTCAAAGCTATCAAGTTCATCAAAAAACATGGAAAATCTGAGAAACTGTCAGAGCCAAAGGAACCAAAAGAGATGTGGTGATGACTAAAGATAATGTGGTATCCTGGATGGGATCCTGGAACAGAAAAAGGGCCCCAGTAAAAACTAAGGAAATATGAATAAACTTGAACTTTACTTAATGATAAGGCTCATGAGCTGTGATAGTTATGTTGAGATGTTAACACTAAGGGAAACTGAGTGGAGGTATACAGAACTCTGTGCTGTGCAACTTTTCTGTAAACCCAAAATGTTCTAAAAAACAAAGTTTATTTTTAAAAAGCACACTAAAGTGACATTTTTGACCTACCATATTGGTAAACATCCACAAGTTTGAGAACACATTTGTTTTGTTGAGATTGTGGGGACATAGGCATTCTCAGTACATTGCTAGTAGGAACATAAATTGGTACCTCTGTGGACAGCAGTTGAAATCATAAATACACATTCCCTTTAGCATGGTAATTGAATGCGTATGAATGGTATTCTCAGTGCTATGTATCCTAATGTATGTATGTGTATATATATTCACTGCAACGTTACTTATAACAAAATACTGAAAACAAATGAAATGTCTATGATGCGATATATACATTCAATGGAAAACTGCAGCAGTCCCAAAGATGAACAACTTCTCTATGGACTGCTACCGAACAACTCTAACATATATTTATTGCAATAGCAAAGTGCAGAACAAGGTATATAGTATGCTTATATTTGAATAAAAGCAGGGGGGAATATGTGTATGTGTTTGCTTATATATTCATAAAATATCTCTGGGAAAACACAGACAAGTAGTAAGCAAATGTCTCCAGGTAGAACTGAACTGGATGGTGAGGTAAGAGTGGGAAAAATTCTTGATATCTTTTTGTACTCTTTGAATTTTGAACTACATGATTATATTACCTAATTATTTTTAAATTAAATCAAACACTTTTTAGATCACACAAAACCAAAGGAAAACATCATGAGTTTGGCAGGGGTGGTGTCACAATGTTTGGATTTCTCAGTTCCCACAGTTACTGACAACATAGCACAGTAGGCAATCTGGATTTGAATTTTTGCTTTGTCAAGTTAAAGACTATATGAGTTTCAATAAGTTTCTTTAACCTATTGAGGCTAGTTTCCTATCTGTAAAATGGGGATAATACCTCAGAATAGAGTGACTATACAGTACTATGAAAAGTGTGGTTTTAAGGTCACTTGACAGTGTGGTCATCTATGAGGAAATATTCCAAGGTTATCCAGTAGGTACAGACATATTTAAACTGGCCATATTGCCATGCTCAAGTTAGAAGATAAAGCCAAAGAGAAGTTACTGGAAAACATTGTATTTCCTACCCTGTGAACTAACACGTTGATCAAAAATCTCATGGGAAGTATTAGTGTGGGTCATATCATAGCCAGCACCAGGTAAATCCTATGTGGTGGTGGGACTGAATTCTGCTGTTCATCCAAAATGTCCAATGGACATATTAATCAATAAAGGAATGGAAAAATACACCAAGACTGCTAGTGTGCTTGTCCCTTGGGAAGGTGGCAAAGGGTGAAACCAGACTATAATGACATATGCACCCCAATGTCCATTGCAGCACAATTAACAATAGCCAAGTGCTGGAAGCAACCTAAGTGCCCATCAGTAAATGAGTGGATCAAAAAACTAGAGTACATTTACACAATGGAATTCTACATAGCAGGGAGAAAGAAGGATCTCCTACCCTTTGCAACAGCATGGATGGAACTGGAAAGAATTATGCTAAGTGAAATAAGCCAGGTGGTGAGGGACAAATACCATATGATCTCACCTTTTTAAAAAATACATTTTATTGATTATGCTATTACAGTTGCCCCATTAGCCCCCCTTCATTTCCCTCCACCCTGCACACCCTCTCCCACCCACATTCTCCCCCTTTAGTTCATGTCCATGTGTCATAAGTTTTTTAGCTTCTACATTTCCCATACTATTCTTGCCCTCTCCCTGTCTATTTTCTACCTACCATCTATGCTACTTATTCTTCATACCTGTTCCCCCTCTCTCCTCCTCCCACTCCCCTGTTGTCAACCCTCCATGTGATCTCCATTTCTGTGGTTCTGTTCCTGATCTCACCTTTAACTGGAACATAATCAACAAAAGAAAAAGCAAACAAAATATAACCAGAGACAATGAAATCAAGAACAATCTAACAATAGCCAGAGGGGAGGGGGAGGAGACAGTGTGGGGAAGGGCTTTCAGGAACTACTATAAAGGACACATGGACAAAACCAAGGGGCAAAGTGGAAGCAAGGGAGGGAGGTGGGATTGGCTGGGGTGGGGGTAAAATGCAGACAACTGTAATTGAACAACAATGAAGTAATTAAAAATTAAAAAAAACAAACTATACTTGCCATCATACCAGACTTGTACACAACTTCTAATAAAACATACAGCCTCTTGGTACTGATGTGGTTCACACTACACTTCAAAACTACTAGGTGAGATGAGTGGAGAATAAATGGCTAAAAATATATACTCACATAGGCTGAAATTGGGACTGGAAAGCAAGGTCATAAGGAAGTACTCTGTACACATGTGCATGACTGTAGCCAGACCAAGTGGTAGGTACCAGGGGACAAACATTCAGAAAATTGCACTACAAGAAAACCAGGCTATTTCTAGCTCTTCCAAACTTATTAACTGTGAAATAATAGCTATTCTCTTTCCCATGACATCCCTCTCCCCATTTTAAAAGGACATCATCAGACAGTATATAAAAAAAAGCTTTGAGATTTCTAGATATTATTCATGGGCACAGAAATGTTAGCAGGAGGTAATTTTACCCCTAGAAGAATTTATGACAAATTGAGAAATATGCATCATTTGTCTTTCAGACAATTTAACAAAGTTTAATTAAGTCAGAAACTCCTCCTTAACATAGACATATTTTCAGGATTTATTCTTTTTGGGTGCTTTGTTTACAGCACACTTCTGATGAATATAGTATGAAGCAACTGTAACTTCCAGATATGGAAGAAGATTCTAAAACCAAAAATCTTTTCTTGAAGAGGGATAGCATAACTCATCTAATATTATGTGTAAACAACTGTACATGCCTTTCATATTCCCAAAATGAGATAGCATAAATGCTGTTATATATAACAACCATAACATGTTTTTCAAAGAACAAGAGAAGTGGTCAAGCACTAGGAAAGTGTAAACACAATAAATTAAAAAAATTCTCCTTCAGCTAATCTTAGCTGGCCTTTAACAATGGTTAGGAGGGGCTCAAGATTCCAGAATCTTACATAAATGTTACCTTAAAATTACAGGCAACAATGGATTATTTCTCATCATTTAATTAATATGTATTTAACAATATCATGTTGAACAGAGTCAGAAGGAACCTTAGAGATGATTTAGTCCAAGGCTCCAGATTCCAGACAGTACATTGAGATTTACCAGTAAGTTCTAGTGTTACTGTAATGATTTAGAAGTCACTTCATCCACTGACCTCTTCTATGTCCTGGAAAAAATACTGATGCTTCCAGTGCAAAATCTATGGGAGTTACTCTAAGAATTCTTTTGTGCTCTGAATAGCAGTCAAAATGTTGTCAGCAGCTATTAAATATTTATGAAGTTCTAACTCATTCGAGACTACAATGATTATGCAAAGTGTCCCAAAGTTGTGAAGCTTTGGGACACTTCATGAAAGAAGCAAAATGCAAGGAACTTTCAATAATGGCAAGTGTTAAGATTTTCCACTGCCCATCCCTTTATTGTGATGTTTAGTAAATATTAATGGACACAATGCTTTGGTATGTGAACAAACAAAAAAAAAATGCTTATCCTTCATCCCTACCTCTCTCTCTAAAAGAAGTAGCTCCATATATTTACTATTTTTTTGTTTTATTTTTAGAGAGAAGGGAAGGGAAAAAGAAAGAGAGGGAGAGAAAAATTGATGAGAGAGAAATATCAATCAGTTGCCTCTTGTACGTGCCCTAACCAGGGACTGAACCCACAACTTAGGCATGTGCCCTGATCGGGAATCAAGCCCTCAACCTTTCACTTTGTGAGACGATGCCCAACCCACCGAGCCACACTGGTCAGGGCATAGCTCCATCTATTTAAAATGAATAACAAATTGGCTGAGATCAATTACTAACTCTGTCATAAGTGGTACCAGAATAGCTGGAGTTACTGCAGTTTCAGTGACTACTTAGAAGACAGATGTGTGA